TTCAACTTCATTGGTTGAGCTGGTAGTGGAATTTTGAATCAGACGAGATGAAGTGATGAACTGGTCGAAAATTGCGACTGCGTGCTCAGCGACGTTGAATCGTGGACTGGTTTGTCATTTGTGGTCGTAGCCGTTTCCTAATCTTTTTTTAGAATTAGCCGTTTCCTAATCTAAGTTACGGCATTCGGTTCAGCGATTAATTGGACGATTAAACAAAATCCATTAATGTGTGCGGTTCTTGGTTGACAATTAATTCTCCAGACGCCACTGATTTAAAATATCAGCGTCGTTTACAATGCCAGGGAGGGAGTCAGATTCTTCGTGGCTGCAAATTTGGCCTCGTCTCTCTCGACTCCGACGTGGAACCGAAAACGACATAAAGACGGCTTACAAAATTCGCCGTGCCATCATGTTTGACTGATTTATTACAAGAGAAAAACACTATTTTAACTAAACAAATAAGCTGAAAAAGATGGCCATCGGACAATTACGATGCAGATTGTTTCGATATTTTTCCTCTGATGATGATGGATGGTAATCTAGCGATACTAGTACTCCTAGATCACAGGCAGCAATTAAAATCTCGGTGCTGATAAAGACATTCCAAGGCCTGCTGGTTCACATTTCTTTTGACGTTTGGGGACCGAGCAAGGAAGGAAGATTTTCTTTTTACCACGCGCTGAATCACAATTTCACAGAGCCTTTTTGAAGTCTTCATCTTCTCAAATATTCGGTATGGAAGACCTCGCGGTTCGGTACTACTACTACCAGTACCACTGCGTTTTGAGACCTGCCTTCGATCTGGAAAAAAAAAAACTGTATGTACTACTACGATCAGCGTGTTCGCTGGGCTGGCTGGGGCAGGGCTGGCCAGCCCCCTCAAAAAACAATATTTATCTGAAGCAGCCAGTAATACTTCTCTCTCACATAAACGAATCAGCCAACCGAACAGGCTCGGCGAGAAGGCCAGTGATAAACTGGTTTTGACCGTGCTTGAACCGACGAATCGTGTCGGTAGCTTGGACGACGGGATCACAATTTCTGATGTCACAGTGCTTCCAAGGCGTTATCCCGACGGGAAACGGGGCTTCCAGTTCCAATTGCGTGCGCTTTTCGCACGCATTTTTCATGCCCCTGGGCACGACCACCACCAACCATCATCCCAGCGAACACGGCAGGGTCTTGCATATTCCTATTCGCCCGTCGCGTGTTCGTCGACCGCGACGGTCGATCAGGGATAAACAAACAAACGTTTTATTTCTTATTAGCTAGCCTGCGATTGCGTGGACTACTGGACTGCAACCAGGGCTTTTAGGCGTGGACGTTGAAATGGTTATTATCACAGTCCCAGGATTAGATTAGAGCGGCACGTCGTGACGTCACGCCAGGGGAAGGGATGGTCATGGTTTCTCTCCTTGGGACAATTTCTCTGGGTCAGGCTGATTGTAGGTGCGCATTCAGATTGAGACTGTCTGATTCAGAAAGGAAAATTGAAGGTAATCTGATCAAATTCCGAATCCCATGTCCGGACTACCACGGTCCTCTGTTTTGCTTTTCTGACGAGAAAACAGGTTTGTCACTTTGATTTTCTGATCGATGAACAGAGTTCCAGGTTCCAGTTCCGCCCGTTGCTTGGAGTGTCGCTCAGCTCTGATTATATTGACAAGCAATTAGCCTTTTTTATTAAAAAAATGCGGTTGGCGTCAGCTTGCAGACCTTCAGCAAAGCATTTCCCAACACAAAGTTTGTTGCGTATAGGCGTATAGCCAATGGAGCTGATCCGGCATGTCAACCACGCGCCCTATCCATTCGCAATTGTCCGGCTATATTGTATAATCAATAATCATTGTGGCCTTTCAATAATCTACTAAGCATCATGCTGCTGCTGATGCATCGTCGAGACGGTGCCAAATGCAGGAAAGAACACACGCATCAACAGTACCAGAAACTCGTCATCGCCTCGCCTGCTATTATTTTTTTGTCCTCGGGCATGGTACGTTTGACCAGGAATATTCCCACTGTAGCTTGTATAATAAGCTAAGAAAACTTTTTTTTTATGATGTTTGCATAAGCACCGTGTCAGCAGTATGGCCTTTGTATGCTTCAAAAGAATATTCAATTTGCTAGCCCTATATGTTATAACAAGTCACTGGGATCTCTTCTGGAAGTGCTGCGCGATCGACCTAATCCCGTTCGAGCAGCAACTGGCCACGTGTCCTTTGTCGGCGCGCTCATAGCTCGTTTATAGTTATCTGACGACTCGGTGTTGTAAGTTTCGTTTGGCCTTGGGACGTGCCAACGGGAAATGGCTTTGTTGTTTCCCGGGTCTCGTGGTTTAGGAAACCAGGAACAAGCCCTCCGGAAATCATTTTGACTGCACTGCATTTTGGTCGTTGGGTTCTGGACTGCTTTTGGAACTATAATTACACACAAAATGATATTTATGTGCTCGCCAACGCCGAGCCCCGTGACGGTGAGGAGGATAGCGTCTCCATCTCGTTCAGATCCTGTGTGCTGCAGGCTCAAGCCAGACAGAATATTCAAATGAAGCACGGGCGCTGGTAGGTCAGAGCGTCCGAGTCACACATGGGATTTGGATAGAATCAAAGTAACAACCATGCTGTTGGACAGAGTAGTTTCTTCTGTTCACAAAAGAGTTGCATACTGTTCCACCCAAAGAAATAGAACTGTATCTTTTTGGTTGAAAGTTCGAATTTGTATTGTATGTACTGTCGAACTGTTCCAAAAGAAAAAACAAAACGCTGGATAATCTTGAGAGGAAATCGAAACATCGACCGACCTTGATCCGTACCGTACGCGCTGAATTTTATTCGATCGGATTGTATAGTTTTCAGGTAAAATTGCTTGTTTAGACATTTGTTTGCACGAGACAGAAAAGAATGGGGTAAAATTTTATATATATAATCGGATTGGACGGCTGTAGAGCTCGCTAAAAAATGCTATGACCGGACATTGCAACAGGACTTGGTCCATGTAAACTCCCGCCTAAACGAAAAGCCAAAGCTTTGTGCTGACCTTTTGCCCTTTTCGTCTTTATTCTGAAATTTTCCTCTTATTTATCTTTCGCCTCTCAGCTTTGCTCTTTTTTTTCTCTCTTTATATGATATGGCATCCTCTTTTTTTTTTTTTTACTTACGTAGTACCTGTTATGGTAGAAAGAAAAAGAATATGGGATCACAAGGGAATCTATCTATCAAAAGACATGAAGCAAACGAACAAGACTGTTCCTGCCTTTTGGGGTGGGTCCTTAACCACATGCTTGGGGTCCTTTAATCCTTTGCTTTGCCACCTCACGCCTGTCCTCTTGCTCGTAGCCATTTCCCTGCATATGATGATGGCCGCAGGCTGCAGCCATTGGCATTGGACAATTTGCATATGATGATGGCCGCTGCTCTCATGCTCTGCCAAGGCTGCAGGCTGCAGCCATTGGCATTGGACAATTTGCATATGATGATGGCCGCTGCTCTCATGCTCTGCCAAGTGCTACCCCTACTCTGGCCTCTGGGACAGCTCCTTCCATTCTGGTGCAGGACTGGACAGCAGTGTCCCGCAAGGCCTGGTTTGGTGGTGACTTGAGTGGCCACATCTCATGCTATGCTAGCTTCTGGTTCTAGTGACTTCTACTACTAGGCCCCGTTCGCTGGTCTGAACTTTGGCTGAAACTGGCTGAAAAACACTGTTCCAGCTGAATTGTTGTGAGAGTAAAACACTGATCCGGCTGAAAAAACAAGCCGAATAAGCCAAATTTAAGACAAGCGAACGGGTCTTACTTTTAGGTGGCCTGGTAATTGGAGCTGGTAACTTGCAAGTGAAACAACCACCTTACCCCGTACTACATCATTGTCTCTCTACCAAATACAATATAGATAGCTTGGTAAAAATATCAGTTTGGTGCTTTACCAGATAGACGTAGCTGTATTTTCTTTCCTGTCCTTGGTTTTTGCAGTTGCAATGTGGCTTGACTCGTCCGGCAACTTTGACGAAACATCCAATCGAGTTGCACGAAGCAGACCGTTCTGTGTCAACCAGTGGCTATCAGGTCTGAACCAGTACATTTCTGAATTCTGACTTTGATGGAAGAAACCAATACTGTCGAGCTCAGCATCCTACTGTATTTCAGGAGTGGGCTCAAAGTTTTGCACAAGGTCTTCACGAACAGTTTCACAAAGAAACACTATAGAATATCTAAGCAAGACTACAAGCTGATACCTGCATGTTCAGACTCAGAGCCATAGCTGTCTAGAACCAGAGATTTCCAACCATCCGTTTCACTGATGAGGGCACCACCACCAACTACAATTCTACAAAGACCTTAGATACGTGTAGAACAGCAAAATCTTGCACGAAACCAACAACTTGACTTCTTAGCAGTAACACCTTTAACCTGATCTTACTAATTTGACTCTATAGCAGTGAGGTACAGTACAGCACCAAGCATGGATGCATGATCATCAGTTGGACTCTAGACTCTAGTTCTGGATTTCAGAACCCAACAGTTCAGGATTGGGGAAAAGAAGTCTACCTATAAAATAACCTACCCCTCCTTTTCTTGAAACAAAGTAAAAATGGAGCCCCTTTAGGAAAGGCAAAGGAGAAAGTGTGCTCTGTGCTGCATGCCTGCATGGACCACCACCTCCCTTTGGGCTCTTGGCATGTCACATCCTTGCTCCCAAATTCAGAGCAGCTTTTGCTTGTCCTCTACGGAGTATTTCCTCAGACGCATCAGGCATGCTGAATGCAGCGCAGGGCAGGGGGCAGACGAGGCTGGCTGCACTGGAAGGAAAGCGAAAGAGAAGAAACATTCCTGAACGAGCACACAACGGACAATGCAGCCGCTTTGCCTTTACAGCCGGAGGGGCGCTGCTGCAGGTCAACTTTGCAATCGACCTCCGCTGCTTTGCGCACATGTACGGTTAGTTGCTTGCACGGCCGCCTTGTTCAGTTCAGTTCCACTACGAGGGTAGCAATGAATGGAGGGCATGGAGACGAATGCGTACATCCAGATGAAAGTTTCGCCAGGTCAGTGAAGTTTCATCAAGTTTGCAGGCAGTTTCGCGCAGCAGTCGCAGAGACCAAAGGGAAAAGGAGTGCTGCCCTGTTGCAGAGCTTGCGCTGCATTTGCATCTTCACTCAAACAGAGAAAAAGAAAACAAGCAAATATGAAAGAATGTGCAGGAGAATTTCCTCCCGAACACCCGGTGGCAAGTTGCAAAGAACATGAGAAATGTCTAGCAGTTCAAAAACATATCTTGATTCTTCATCTTTCGGTTCCAACTAAAATCGCAGAGCAGTGAACTTCTTGTGTTTCCTATCGATCTATGGATTCTTCAGTTATGATATTTCTTTTTCACAAATTCTGATTAAGAAAAATATCATTTGTAGCATAGATTAGTTAGGTTGTTTACCTATCCACTCAAGTTAAGGTATCCAAATCTACACAGGTACTCGTATTTACGTTAAGTGATCTATCTATCATACACGGTTTTTATAGGAAAAAAATAAGAAAAAATAGTTCCAGGAAAGGAAAACAACTTGCGCATCACTATCACAAAAAGGCCTAATCACGCCATGAGGCCCATTCTAGCAATACAGCCCGGCCCAAACACTGTGGGTAAACTTTGCACCTCTCTCAGATCGTCCACTGACAAACCGACCCATGACGCCCGAGTGCCCAACACCCCGTCGCCCCCAACGACCTGGCTTTCCCCGACCCCGAGCAGCAGCAAGCCAGCAACGCGTCGCGCGTGCATCGCAACGACAACGAGATTCATCAGAGTCCAGACCACCGACGAGAAAGGACAAAACTGCGGCGGACCTACCCGGAGCCGGAGGCAGGGCAAAGGCCCGATCCCCCTCCCGCCGGTTGCCGCGCTTGTGCCACGGTGCGCTAGCCCCGTCGACGCCGGCGGGCATCGTGAGCTATGGGTTGCTCCTCCTCCGTGCCAGGTTTGCACCTCCTTTCTCGAGTATTAAAAATTCGAAGGTTCAGGTGTAGGATCGTTGTATTTTGTCTTCAATTAGTGGCCGGAGATGACAGATTAAAAGTTTAGCACTGGTTCTGGTGCGGGTTTGATGTGTAGTGGTTTAAGCCGCGAATTCGCTCAGTTCGCGGTGTGTGTTTTAGGGTTTTGGGCTGTGCTTTGTAGATTAATTGGATTGGATTGATTGGAAGTGTCGGTTGCGTGCTCATCGCCGCCAAAAAGAAAGACCGTGTTCACAAAGCCTGTGGTGGTGGACTTAGTTGTTTCTTTAGTTAATTTGGGGATTTAATGTGACGACAAGGTGTAGGAAAATGTGATATGTGGTTGGTGATCATACAGTTCGAGCAGAAGATAGTCAAATTAGTTAATGTCTAGGTATATAAAGCTAACGCAGTATGTTTTTCCCCATTTTCAGCTAGAAGTACTGGAGGGCTGAACACTATCAGCAATGATAACTCTCCTTCCACTGATTCAAAGGACTTGCGTGCTAAGGTTAGCCAAACTCCACCCTCTTTACCTTTTGTTATTATGGTGGTTGATTTCATATTTTCTTTCGCTTCTTTTGGTTGCTTGTCTTGGCTTAGCATTGGTTGTGGTACCAGCATGTCAGCTGTATATTTAGGCTCACCTTCCCTAGATGCTCTAGCGAAGAATTTTGAAAGCAGTCATGGACGGAAATTTTTTTAAATGCTTAAAAGCACATAAAAGCGTCGTGTATGTACTGAAACTTGTCTAGTATGCTCTTAATGCTCAGATACTATGATGCTGTATATCATTCAATTGCTTAACATTTCATCCCTGCCAAGGGTTTTTGGGATCTTACCCAGTGAATCTGCATATTGCAATACCTAATATACTCAGCAGGTTGTCATTTGTCTGTTTCTGCTCATTAACAATGACTGTGATCTAAAATTCAGTATACTTAATATGTTAGGGCATCATTTTAACTACCATAAGCGGTATATGTACATACTCAGCTTTTTTTTTCATGGTGGATGTTTTTTTTGCACAAGGTGCCTCATGCAAGCATTGTGCCTCATTCAACCTTTTTGTATGTTCTTCACATGAGCATATGCTAAACACACTGCCTTATGTGCTGTATTGGTTTTTACAATTTCCAAGGAATCAAAATTTCAACTACCCCACAAAATATATTGCTTGTTATAGTGGCTATTAAAATTTGAGGTTGTGTTTCTTTTTTGTTACTATGCTTTATTTCTAGCTTAGAAGTAGAAGCAGGGACATAAGTGTAGTGTATATATGGATAATTGAACACTTTTGGTATAGAAGTTAATGCATTCATTGCATCAGTGGCCCTACCAAGCATATCAACACACTGATTTATCTAGTAAAACCTGATTAACGACTTTGTTTAATGTTTTCAACCTTTTCCTGTAATAGCTGGTATTGCTGGGAGACTCAGGTGTTGGGAAAAGCTGTATAGTTCTTCGCTTTGTTCGTGGTCAGTTTGATCCTACTTCCAAGGTGATTTCCTGTTTTGATCAGATTGAGCCATGAATGAAACTTTACTTTCAGTTGCAGCATTTCCATTCCCCAACTTATCTTCTCAAATGGTTACAGGTAACTGTTGGTGCATCTTTTTTATCACAAACATTGGCATTGGAAGATTCAACAATAGTGAAGTTTGAAATTTGGGATACTGCTGGGCAAGAGAGGTAATTTGGTGTTGTAAGCCAGTACTTATTTTAGAAAACTAATTTGGGATACTTTTCAGCACGTATTCTATGCACATTTGATCCATCTTTCTTTGCAAGCACATGCATGTTTTTGCCCGAATCAAGAAGTCATGAGAATTGACAGCCCGTCAATTTCAGGTATGCTGCCTTGGCACCACTTTACTACAGAGGAGCTGCTGCTGCAATTGTTGTCTACGATATAACGAGTCCGGAATCATTTAGCAAAGCACAGTATTGGGTAAAGGTAAACTACCAGCAACCCTCTACTCTTCTGTGTTATTATGCTTGGTTTTCTCCCCATTCCCTATTACCGGTCTGTGCTTCTGCTTGAAACACTGATGTGATACGGTACCTAAAACACTCTTTATCAGTTGACCTGTTGATTATATTCAATCTTAGTGGTCTGAAATTCTATTATGGTTTGTACCCTATTTTTGGTTTCAGGATTAAATACAGCACTCCTTTTTTTCTTTCCCATTCTGCAGGAACTTCAGAAGCATGGTAGTCCTGGTATTGTAATGGTTTTGGTTGGGAATAAGGCTGACCTACATGATAATCGAAGTGTATCCTCACAGGTAAGAGTATATGCTCATTGCCAACTGATAGGTATTGTATTAATGACTGCTATGTGATTTTTACCATATGGTGTACTTGTTGCAGGATGCACAGGACTACGCAGAGAAGAACAATATGTTTTTCATTGAGACGTCAGCCAAGACAGCTGATAATATAAACCAACTGTTTGAGGTACACTTTGAGTACATAAAATATTTGTTTTACATAACATGTAAGAGGATAAGAAAATCTAGCTGCAACTGTTAATGTTATTCTACTTTAAAAAAGATGAGGCTGAGCAAACAAAGCATTGGCGCCTTGAATTTCTCAGTTTTCTGTGCCTAGTAGATGAGAATGGGTAGGCAAGGATAAACAAACTCACCCTCCCTTGGAGGCTCTGAGTTATTTAGGTTTAATCTTGCTTGATCTGCCAAATTGGCCGAATGACAACCCGTTTAAGCTTACAAACCTCCTATACTTTAGCTAACTTAATCAACAAGACATTCCCTAGCAATTTCAAATCCGACTCTATCTCTTACATTGTTTTCTACTTGCCTGCCTTCTTCTAACGCCTCTGGTATTGTCTTCCAAGGAAAGCGCCCACAACTGGCACAACACATCCTCCCTCCTCTGGAAATAGTTTGTCCCCGAGCTAAAAGTCTGGGTATTTGCCCCTTGAATTCTTCCAAGTCCTCCCAAGTAGTCTCAGCTTGACTTGGACCAACCACTTAACTGAAACTTCCCATGTGCCACGGTTGAGGCGAGCACAAAGAACCTTGGCAGGGACTGGCAGTACTTGGCCACGCTTGATGGGAGGAAGCTGCACCTGTTCCTGAGGAGGATCACCAATGTATTTCTTGAGAAAGACCACATGATACACATTATGAATAAGAGCCTTTGGTGGCAAAGCGAGGTGATATGCCTTAGACCTGACATGCTCCTCCACACGAGAGGGGCCATAAAAGTTAGATGCCAACTTAGCAGGTGATTTGTCTGTAATGACTGTGGCTATGCGCTGATGCAAAAGGAACCACACCCAATCACAAACTGCAAACTCCACATCACAGTGGCCCTTGTCATATTGGCACTTCATCAGCTCTTGAGCATGGGCAAGATGGTCATGGATTTGACCAAAAACATGCCACGAGCTCAAAACTGCTTGTCCCAAGGACGGCACTTAAACAAGTCCTGGATCATAAGAGATCAATTTAGGTGGGTCTTGACCATAAACCACATTAAATGGGTAGTCTTCAGCGCCGTTTGGAGTGATGTGTGGTAGCAATATTGTGCCCTAGGAAGCCATTGAAGCCAACTCTGAGGATGGTCACCAGCAAGGCAACACAGGTACATGCCCAATGTGCGATATGTAACGTCTGGTTGGCCATCGGTTTGGGGGGGTGAAAAGCAGTGCTGATTCAAAACTTGACACCCATGAGGTTGAACTCTGTCCAGAGGCAGGGTCACAGTCACCGACAATGGAGCACGGCAACCCCTGTAGCCACACTATGTTGTCGAAGAAGACCTGCGCGATGGAGACCGTAGTGTAGGGGCAGCTGAGCGAAGAAAATGTGCATACTTGTAGAAGCGGTCTACCATCGTGATGACCACTGATAAGCCCTTGATAAAGTCCATGGCTATGTCAGCCCACACCAAGCTGGGCGTGGCAAGGGGCTGGAGCAGTCCGACCAGGTGGAGATGCCCTGTCTTGGTCCTCCCGTCCTCCGGCAGACACCAGCTCTGGATGAAGTCCCAGATGAGCCTGGCTGCATTCGGCTTGTAGAATAAATCACACACCCACTGCTGCTTCTTTTTAACGCCTTCATGGCACACACCATCAGCCGGGTCCAAGATAAGTGGCCACCACATGGAGGGCGATGGCACAAAAAATGCACCCATCATGCAGGACTAGGCCATCTGCACAGCCTGAGAAACTTCACTAGGCCTTGTTCGTTTCATCCCTAAACCATCTAAACCATGGGGATTGAGGGGGATTGAGGAAGATTTTGACTTGGGATTTATAATACCCCTCAACCCCTCCCACTCCCCTGGGTTCTAAGCTAAACCGAACAGGGCTAAGCAGCCCATGGACATGGAAACCATTATGCTAGCCGTCGACACTTGGGTATATCATTATGATATAAATGCGGATTCATTTGTGATCCCTAAACATAATACCACATCTGTTTTTACCAGCCATGTATTATTCGCTTATGTCAAATTTTCAGTTTCAAGTTTGAATCTGTAGCCATACAGTTACCAGTATGCATCTGTGGTGATCATCCTCCTAACATGACCGTGTTCCTGTACCAGGAAATTGCAAAGAGGTTGCCTAGGCCAACGGCATCGTGACAAAGCACTTGTGTGTATTCAAGAGTGACACAAATACAAGCTTGTACCATGTAATGCATGCCAGCCCATATATATATGGGTACTGTATGGAAGACCTCTCATGTAAAGAGTTTTTTTTTTTCATTCTGTTATAATTGTGGAGGACCTTCGGGTATTGAATATCCTCTGATGTCGCAACTATTGGTCACTGATGACGAATTGTTTTTCTTTTCCTTTACCTTTTTCTAGGGCATTCTAATCTAACAACAAAGTAGCTGCGCAAGTTTTGCATGTTAGAAGATACGTAAAGTTCATGTAAACTGACAGAATACATGCGTGCTTGTCATTCTTTATTTTTAGACGTTCGACACTTCGACGTGGGCCATGTTTAGATTGCAAAAAATTTCAACCCGATGAATAGTAGCACTTTCGTCTTATTTGGTAAATATTGTCCAATCGTGGACCAACTAAGCTTAAAAGATTCATCTCGTGATTTTTTTTAACTAAACTGTGCAATTAGTTATTTTTTTTACCTACATTTAATGCTCCATACAAACGGCTAAAAATTGATGTGACGAAAAGAGTGAAAAAACTTAGAATTTCGAGGGTATCTAAACAAGGCCGTGGTCTGCCCTAACCTGATTACGAAAACAGGAACTTGGCATTACAATTCACGAATGTCTACAAATTTTGCTGAAGCTGCATGTGACCATGTGCATCGGATCTAACACTACTGCTCCTGCATCTATGTAAAGTCACATCACAGGGTTTCTTTCAGTAGTAGGTAGGATCACCAAGAATCCAAGATATACCAAACTTACCAACGAAGGTAAACAGCCCAATATCGCTGCTCCATCGACCATCAACGAACAACAACACATCCTCCAGAAACTGCCATGTGGGCCCGTCCGCCCCATAAATCCATGGACCGCGTCTCCAAGTTGGCCACGGCCCACGGGCCCGACCTCCCCTCTCGGAAGGCTCTAACCCGAATTCCACTGTCACGTGGGACCACGGACGCTCGGACCCCGCACGTCATAGAGAAACCGAGCCCGACACGTAGAGAAGTCCCGAACCCCTGCTCCAAGAAAGAAGCTATAAAGCCGAGCCTATCCCCTGACCCCTCCTCTTCATCTTCACTTCGGCCCCCGAACCCGAACGAACACCCCGCAAATATCTGTCGCCGTCTCGCCCGTCTTGCGAACAACACCAACCGCCAACTCGAATTCGACCGCCATGGCGAGCCAAGGCGAGCCGTCTTCCTCGGATCCGTGAGTACCCGCTCTGATCTGGCCGCTCGCGCCTAGGGCTTAGATCTGTTGTTGGTGGTGCGAGAAGAGGCTTTTGCGGGGATTTTATTGGTGAATTTTTTTGATTGACACTGTGGTGGGGTGTGGAGCAGGAAGGGGAAGAAGGATTACTCGACGGCGATCCTCGAGAGGAAGAAATCGCCGAACCGGCTGGTGGTCGACGAGGCCACCAATGATGACAACTCCGTCGTCGCTCTGCACCCGGACACCATGGAGAGGCTCCAGCTCTTCCGCGGCGACACTGTCCTGCTCAAGGTACGGATGAGCTCTTTACCTCGCCAACTCTTATGTTTCGATAAGATTATTACGGGGTCTTGGTTGTGGCGATTGTTTACTGTGTGGATTACAACTCCGTTGTGAAAGCTGTGACCTTTGTCGCTGTTATTGTGTAATCTTAGTCATAGATTTGGGGAAACTAAATGCTTGGTGAGATATTTAATATTATTAGTCGGTTACGTTTTGAAAGTTTGACCTTGTTGTAGTTTTCTATATTGGTTGAAGGGTAGATTTGTGATGACTGATGAGAATCGCAGTACATGGCTTTGGTAATAGTTTGTTCCTGGTTTGTTTTAGTCCTGTGTTAATAGCTGTTGTGAGAATTTAACATGGTAGGGTTCCCGACCCTGTAGGGCTGTAATTGTGTGATAGTGCATAAATCTGTGCTTTCCTCATGACCCAAGTTAAATTGTGTGGTAGCGCATAAATCTGTGCTTTTATCCTAACCAATCTATATGCAGCTAGGTATGCCACTGTACTTTTGGACATGTTACATTGTTTGTAGTTTCCATTGTTCGGAAATTTGAAGTTTTGTAACATAAATTATTTTGGTTCTGTTACCATGCTGCTGTACATGTACTGCATAATGAGGCAGGCTTTTTCTATGATGATGCTGTGAGGTTAATGGAATTGCTTGTTATAGCTACATTACTTGCACATTATGGATGATGCTCTTTAATTTCCCCTATACTTTGAATTTGGGACTGGTATGAGATAATATGTGGTCACTACCACTTGATTCTTGTCTGCTGATGTTCTGGGTAACTTCATTGCAGGGTAAGAAGAGAAAGGACACTATCTGCATTGTGCTTGCAGATGACACATGTGAGGAGCCAAAGGTCCGGATGAACAAGGTTGTCAGGACGAACTTGAGGGTGCGGCTTGGAGACGTGGTATCTGTCCATCAATGCCCAGATGTCAAATACGGGAAGCGTGTGCACACACTTCCAATTGATGACACCATTGAAGGCATCACTGGCAACTTATTTGATGCCTTTCTGAAACGTGAGATTTCTTTATCACCTCCTTGTTCTCTTAAGCACTTATTTTGACAGATAAATACACAAAATTTACTTTAGATTTACATTTAATTGTAACTATTTATTTATATAGCTTTATGTGTGTTGAAAGATGGTATCTGTGGGTTTCACAAAAAAAAAAGATGGTATCTGTGGTACTAAACAAGCTCGAGAGTTGTCCAGGTGTTAGTACTAGTTTCCATGATTTGGTTGCATCTCTGAACTATCATCATTTATTCTGCTTACTGGGCTATATTATTGCATCGTTGGTAAATGGAGTATGCGATACCTTGATAGATATCTAACCATCTGTAGATGATAGACTACTGGGCAACCTACAATTCGTTTTGCTAGTCTGCTTTAATGTGTTTTCTTTTCTTCTGCTGTAGTCAGTTTCATTTTCTTTTTGCTAAATACTTTATCTTCAACTTTTCAGCATACTTCCTTGAAGCCTATCGTCCTTTGAGGAAAGGAGACCTTTTCCTAGTCAGGGGTGGCATGAGAAGTGTAGAATTCAAAGTCATAGAGACTGATCCTCCAGAGTATTGTATCGTTGCACCAGATACAGAAATATTCTGTGAGGGTGAGCCTATTAAGAGGGAGGATGAGGAAAGACTTGATGAGGTTGGCTATGATGATGTTGGTGGAGTTAGAAAGCAGATGGCCCAAATTAGAGAACTGGTTGAACTTCCGCTGCGTCATCCCCAGCTTTTCAAGTCTATTGGTGTGAAGCCACCAAAGGGCATATTGCTGTTTGGGCCTCCTGGATCTGGCAAGACCCTTATTGCTAGAGCTGTAGCTAATGAGACAGGTGCTTTCTTCTTTTTGATCAATGGACCAGAAATCATGTCAAAGCTAGCAGGAGAAAGTGAAAGCAATCTAAGAAAGGCATTTGAAGAAGCTGAAAAAAATGCACCTTCCATCATTTTTATTGATGAGATAGATTCCATAGCTCCTAAGAGAGAAAAGACCCATGGAGAAGTTGAAAGGCGTATTGTTTCACAGCTCTTGACTCTTATGGATGGTCTTAAGTCTAGTGCACATGTTATTGTCATATGGTGCCACAAACCGTCCAAACAGTATCGATCCTGCTCTTAGAAGGTTTGGTAGGTTTGATCGTGAGATTGATATTGGTGTTCCAGATGAAGTTGGACGCCTTGAGGTTCTCCTCCGATTCACACCAAAAACATGAAGTTGGCTGAAAATGTAAGTCACCTTCACTCATACTCGTATTGACGTGAATATTAGTTTTCTATGTTATTTATTCAGTTCTATATTTGAAACCGATCTCAATTCTCAACTACAATACAATACTGTTGCAGGTTGACTTGGAGCTCATTGCGAAGGATACCCATGGTTATGTTGGTTCTGATCTTGCAGCCCTTTGTACCGAAGCTGCTCTTCATTGCATCCGTGAGAAGATGGATATTATAGATCTTGAGGATGAGACCATAGATGCTGAGATATTGAACTCTATGGCTGTCACAAATGACCATTTCAAGACTGCACTTGGGACAAGCAACCCATCTGCTCTGCGTGAAACTGTGAGTATCTGTCGTACTAACCTCTTCTGCATGTTGTGATAAATTTCTACTTGTTCCAGAAGCTAACCTTGGAACTTCTTTTTCCAGGTTGTTGAAGTTCCAAATGTCTCTTGGGAAGATATTGGTGGTCTGGAAAACGTCAAGAGGGAGCTACAGGAGGTATTTTGGTTGCATATATTTGTTCTGCTGTTAAATCGCTGTTTCTTAGTTGTCATTCTTGCAGACTGTTCAATATCCTGTGGAGCATCCCGAGAAATTTGAAAAGTTTGGCATGTCTCCTTCAAAGGGTGTTTTGTTTTATGGCCCTCCTGGCTGTGGCAAGACTTTGTTGGCCAAGGCAATTGCTAATGAATGCCAGGCTAACTTCATTAGTGTGAAGGGTCCTGAACTGCTTACCATGTGGTTTGGTGAGAGCGAGGCTAATGTCCGTGAGATTTTTGATAAGGCTAGGCAGTCTGCTCCATGTGTCCTCTTCTTCGATGAGCTTGACTCCATTGCTACTCAGGTATAGCCTCTCGTTTATGCTCATGTGCTCACACACTAATACAACCTGCAAATGAATCGTAACTGACAATTATTATTTTGAATTTCAGAGAGGAAGCAGTGTTGGTGACGCAGGCGGTGCTGCTGATAGGGTGTTGAACCAGCTGCTTACTGAGATGGATGGCATGAATGCCAAGAAGACTGTTTTCATCATCGGTGCAACTAACAGACCAGATATCATTGACCCTGCCCTGCTGAGGCCAGGGCGTCTGGATCAGCTTATCTACATTCCTCTACCCGATGAGCAATCAAGGCTTCAGATCTTCAAAGCCTGCCTCAGGAAGTCTCCTGTGGCTAAGGATGTTGACTTGAATGCTCTCGCCAAATACACCCAGGGTTTCAGTGGTGCAGATATCACTGAGATCTGCCAGCGTGCGTGCAAGTATGCCATCAGGGAGAACATCGAGAAGGTAATAATCCCTTTGCTCGGAATTTGTTTTGCAGCATTGGTTATGCAGAGTGATATGCTTGTTTGCTAACCGTGACATTTGATTTCAGGATATCGAGAGGGAGAGGCGCAGGAAGGACAACCCTGAGGCCATGGAGGAAGACGAGGTAGACGACATTGCTGAGATCAAGGCTGCTCACTTCGAGGAGTCCATGAAGTTCGCCCGCCGCAGTGTTAGTGACGCTGACATCCGCAAGTACCAGGCCTTCGCCCAGACACTCCAGCAGTCTCGCGGGTTTGGCAGCGAGTTCCGGTTCCCCGACCAACCGACGGCAGCTGCAGGCTCTGCTGGTGCGGCTGATCCCTTTGCATCCGCTGCAGCAGCAGCTGACGATGATGACTTGTATAATTAGATTAGCAGTCCTGCTGTGACGCATCTGAGTACTTTCCTTCGTTATATATGCTTATTATATATATTAATGTTAGACTTATGTGCAAGACACGGGGATTCGCTGTACCTATATACAATTAAGTTAATATATTTTAGTAGGTCCTTGAAATATGTTTGCATGCTTGCCTGGTGGCTGGTGCCATGGTTTGTGTTAATTTGAGATGATCAAAGATGGTCATTTGTCTGAAATGTTCGTTGTATGGATTTGAGATGATCAAAGATGGTCATTTCTACCATTTGTCTGAAATGTTCGTTGTATGGCAAGTAACTTCAGTTAATATGAGTGGAAAATACTTGTTTTTTTTTTGGGTTGGGGGGTGTAATCTTCAGTCTGCACCTCCGCGCTTTGGGGTGTCTTTTAACGTGGGGTCCTTTTCTCAAGGTTTTCGTGGGGAGGTTTTATACTGCGTGCCGCCGCTCCCCATCGCATAAAGGAGAGCTTAGATTCGTTGGATTTTGCTGAGGGCTCACGCAAACGAAATGCATTGTGTGATATACTTCGTTTCTAGAAGAATTCTTATATAGTTATGTCTATGAAAAACGAAATGCATTGTGTGATATAGTTCGTTTCTAGAAGAATTCTTATATAGTTATATCTATGAAAATTAGCAAATCGTTTCGACACGGGGAGTGCCTTAAGTAGATATGGCTTGCCACCAGGCAATCGTACAGGTGCGGACAAAAAAACTGACAACGGTCAACGGGTTAGCCCGGACATAAGCGATTTGAATGAATAATGGCGAAGGAAGGCGTGTTTAGCGATTGTTTAAAATTGAGTGCCTGAATGTGATCGAGAGACGTAGAAGATTAAAAATGAATTGCTTGATTTATTGATTGATCGCTGTTATTATATTTCCAATTGCTTGATGCGCTGATCATGTCATTGAATCACCATAAGCTAAGGAAAATCCGACGCAGGACGACAGGAGGGATTCAAATCGCCGGTTTAAAATCAGACGCGGGACGACAGGAGGCTTCAACACGATTGGATATAGAGATCAATGTAGTATAAAATTATATTTCATGATGTATTTGGTGATTTCGTTTCATGTTAGGGGTGTTAATATTTTTTTTTCTATAAATAGTACTTGGCCCAGTAGTGTATCAATGAACGACCAGTCCGCATTGCAAATAGTATACCCTTTTCGCCTTGTCGTCCACTCCTTTCCGCCTTGTTCTTGCTCCGCAGGGATTGAATACTGAGACGGCAGCAAACTCCAACGAAATACAAGAGAAGGTATCCCTCATTTGTCAGTCACAGACTCACAATATCACATGCGATCCACGATTTCATCAGATATACGCAAGACGAACCTCTATGGGCATCTAGAAAGTTTGAATAATTAGATGGACCTTCTGTAAGGTATAGGACTAAACTGAATGTGAAGGACCATGCTACTCTCACTTTATGTCGACGCACTTTCTGATTACACTATCTATCAAAAATTCTGCGTGCTCGTGAACCAAGGAAACGGGCACGTCCATGTAGTTACAAAACTAGAGAGCACAACAAAACAACATTCTTTGATTGTTGGCTCAGCTTTCTGCGGACGCTTTCTTTCTCTTCTTTTTCCTTTGTTCATCCCCATCGAGCCTACTTGACCGCTTCGATAGCTCCTGCTTGATTTCCATGAGTTTCGCCTTGGCATCACGGAAAGGTGCATCTGATCTCATCGCCAACAATTCCTAAAACATGGGCACATAACATATATCAGCTAAACTTATAAGTAAAATATCTAGTAGCTCAAAATTTCAGGGAGAAAAAGAGACCGTACTTTTATATGATCCATTGCGGCGAGGTTGAAGCCTATAGTATCCTTGCATTCCTGGGGGCAAAGGTAAGATGGTGATCAGAATGTTGCAAAGCTGCTTTTTAAATTTCAAGAAAAGCTAAATTACCTTTACTCTACAGTAAAGAATATCCTTCAGTTCTGTCAACAACGATCTTGCAGCTGGGGTAGCAGTTAATTGATTATGATGTGTCTGAAGGAGCACTAAGCAAACCCTACAAACAAGCTCAACCTGCAAGGATATACCAGAAAATCAGGATGTTGCATGTGGTGCTTCAGGAAAATGAAGGAAATCAAAATGTTGAGTTGTGATTGTGACAGTGAAGCATATGAAACACAATTGATCAACATGGTTTTTCCAAAGGAAATAAAACTATAAAATACATGTGCTAGTAACATCTGTATTTGCTGATTGTAGGAGGCACAAGTAGAGAAACAATTATGTTTGTATCTCGAGAGACCTGTGTAAACATAACCATTGCACACCACAAAAACTCACAATAGCGTCTATGTTTAGTATTCAAAGACTAGAAACCACCAATCAAGACAGCAGAAATATGCAATATAATGTGGAACAAACTGGGAAAGTGGTACTTCAAAGGACAAGAAAGATATATTTTTGCAGACATCATTCTTTAACATAAAAAGGCAACAACATCACGATCAACAATGACAAAACTAGCCAGAAGTATTCGATGTGAGCAGAAATTGAGAAATCTAGCAGACAATGCTATTGACATTACTGTAATTATTGGCATAAAAGCAAACACGATTATATATCAATGCATTCTTTTACCTTTGAAGGAACCAGAGACCACTCCTTCAAGTATGACATGAGCTTTAGTGCATCCGAGAATGGCAATGCCTGGTCCAAAGATATTTTTTTTGAAAAATATATATATATGTATAATGATAAAGGGCGTACCCAGTGCAGAGAGCTCCTGCTCTGTGCGGGGTCTGGGGAAGGGTGTCAGTGGCAAGCCTTACCCTCGCCTGTGCAATGCGAGGAGACTGCGACTCGAACCCGGGACCTTCTGGTCATAGGCGGTAAGACTCTACCGCTTGCACCAGGCCCGCCCTTCATATGTATGTATAATGATAATTGCCAGAAATAAATTTATGATTAATCACAGGTAATAAGAAGCACTATTACTATGATCTCAAATTTGAAGCCAATGGAAGATAGGAACGGAACATAGGATAAGGAAATGAGGAATTGATGTTTTTAACTAAAGAAGGAATTGAATTGAAAAGTGATTCACAAACTTTCTATTAGTAAAACTAACCATACGAAGTTAATTTCAAATATACAGACAAACAGGGAGAAAAGAGCTGGTAACAAGTTCACAGTTTAGTTTGCCGTGAACCAGTATCTGACACAAACAGTCAAACACAATTTTTTTTAACATAAACTCACAAGAAATTTTGGCAAGTGGAATTACACTGTTAAGCAGTCTATCACCAAAGAACAGAAAACGCATACCAAGAGGGCCTGCTCCAAATCATTTGGACGGATGCTTGAAACTACATTCAGAACATAATCTGAAGGTGAATGCCCTTGCATTATAACATTAGGTTGAAATTTAGCTGCCTTCGCATTAATTTGCTCTTCCTGAAAATTGTGAAACATGAAGATCAAGAAAATGTTCCATTATTTATGGGTGGAACAAGGTGTAATATATGAGTGTACCATTTTATGCTGATTAATGCGTTTTAGTTCCTCCTCAGCAGTGTCAAGTGCATCCATGATTGCATCAGCAGAAGTTACTGTCTCTTTTGTTTTCCTACCAGGAACACCCACAGAACCTTCATCAGGGGCATCATCTTTCTGCCCATATCTATACTCATCATTTTCTAAATCAGCCTCAAAGGTTTCTTCCAATCTTTTCTCCTTCTCTTCCTGGGGTATATTGGAGATTTAGGGGTGAAAAAGAGCAATCTCTAAGAAGCTTGAAGAAACTGCTAGAGTATGTTCTGAGGCTACTCAAAAAGAAATTTCATCTCGAACCCTCTATAATCACAAAATACCTCAATGAACAGTTGTTCTTCAGTACGATCCCAACGCCGAATGGAGCGATCATGCGAACCTGTTACAATAAAATCACCACGACTGCTGATTGTGAGGCACCAAACTTCAGCATGATGTCCTTCAAGTGTTAACAACAACTCAAATTTATCAGCATCCCAGTACTTCACAGTGCGATCTTTCCCCACACTGAACATATAATGAGTTCTATACACAAACTTAACATCCATCACGCTGCAAATTGAAAACATCCAAGAAATTATATAAGGTTCTGCCTATAATCAAAACAAAAAAAACAACAATTAAAAAGCAATATCATACCTGTCTGAATGAGCAAATATAGATCTGTGGCAGTCCCCGAAATCCATACCCCAAATCTTCAAATTTTTGTCCGCAGAGCCAGTAACTAGCAAAGCCCCATCAGATGATATGTCCATACAGAGAACTGGAAGTTTGTGCCCATAAAGGTTTAGAGAAGGTTTCAGTGTGTCCATGTGGTAGACCTGTATAAACATAAGAATGTTTGAGGCAAGAAAAAGAAACAAGAGGTAATTATAGATTGAAGCAACTTTTTATTCCTAATGGTTTCCGCTTTCCAAAATGTAGTTTTGTAACTCAAGAAAATCACGATCAGATTTCTATGTGAAATGCTGATGTTGTCCACAAGGTTCATGGTTTTGATCAGAACAATGTTATTACTAAATAACAGAAGTAATTACCTAAGTAGCAACCAAACTTAGCATAGAAAGTGAAATCCAGAGTGACATCTCTTGGATTTTACAGTGTCAACAATCACTTCAGTCACTGACTCACTGCAGACACACTAAGAACAAATTTAACAAATGCGCAGACAATAAATATTGAGTAGTGTTAGTGGACGAAAGCCAGACGGGAGTAAATAGGAAACTAGAGTTACGGCGGCAGACCCTTGAGTCTAAAGGTTTTAGATTGAGCAGAACTAAAACCGAATACATGAGATGCGACTTTGGCGGAGTTGTACAGGAGAAGAGAGATGTGAGTTTGGAAGGTCAAGTAGTGCATAAGAAGGATACCTTTCGGTATCTAGGATCGATGCTATAGAGGGATGGAGATATTGATGCGGACGATAGCCATAGAATCAAAACAGGGTGGATCAAGTGGCGACAA